CTAATTTGATGAATGTACAATTTATAATTACTTTGTTATTATTATTATTATTATTATTGTTATTTTGTTATGAGGTATTATCGCTGTGTTTTGTAATATTTCTGTAATCAGAACTATTTCGGGGTCTATTCTTATTAGCTGTACACAAATTAAGAGCGGAGTTGCGTTGAACAAAAATGTGTGACCTCTATAATATGTAGTTCTCTAAACGTTTTAGAATATTACGTGGTTAAAACGGTGCCGGGACGTGCATCAAGAATTTATATAATATGGTAGATAGACCAAAATAATATGTGTGGCTGTGTGAGAAAAGCCCGGAGAAATTTAAAACCGTACCGGTTGTCCGGCACGTTCTATAATTTATGCCGGGCGTATGTACCAGCCAGATAAGAGATGAAAAAGGGTCCTCCGTCACGAACCGTAAACATCGGTCTCGCAATCTCTTGGTTCGCGGGGAAATGATGGTCCCAATGGGGTCCCTTTTGCAGTTATGCTAGTAACGTCCAAAGGCCGACCCGTAATACACAGCGCTTCTGACTTTTCCGGTTTTTTTTTTTAATTTATTTTTTTTTAATCCGATCGCGTTCACGCTGATTTTTTAACGCACAACGATCAAATAGTTTTTTTCTAAAATTACATTTAAAATTGGAAGTACATTAGACGCACCAACGGCGTACCTTTTGTGTAAGCAACAATATTTAAGTACGTACATTTTCCAAACTTCAAATTAAAACAGAATCAATAGTTCAAGTGTTGAATTATGAGAAGACAATTTTTGACTCGTCAATCAGACTTGCCCTCTTTATTTGTAAGTAACGCAGCCAATTTAACGACGGTACAAATGAGGAACACAAAAGTCGAAGGTGGCGCAAAGCTGAGAGATAACGGGGTACATACCATGTTTGAATTTGGTTTTCCCCGGCAGTCTCCCACTTGAACCATTTTTTATTATGCCAAAACCCCACAAAAACATGTTGATAAAAAAAAAATTACAAAGGTTACATTTTCCAATTAAAAATGGATCTCTCGTTATTTAATTCGGGCTCTAATTATTTTCAGGGCCCTTTTCAAACATGCGGTAGTTTGTACGATATTTTTATCTTTTGAAACCTGTTTGACTGCCAACAAATCCCTCATTATATACAACATTGCGCACTGCTGTGGGATGACTATATCCGCGCTACTTACTGAAATACAGCAAAACGATTGTGGTTTAAACTTGTACAACAATACAGGAGCGGTTTATCATACTTAAACATCAGTAGCAAGTAATTTTAGAGGAGTTTTTATTTTAAATCTTCTTCGTTTCTTAATCGCCTAAACCCATTATACAAGTGTATTGGGCGGTGCAGTTGGTGGCGTGGGCACAATAACTGTATACACACGGCAAGTGGTAACGCGGAAGTTTACAAATGAATCACTTACGAATCGGCGAGCCTGTGGAAAATCTTTGCCACCGCCCGGGCGTTATCTTTGTCACAGTTGAACACCCATTGTAGTAATCCTGTCTACGTGTTTTGCCCACCCCGTACCCCTCACCCCCCAGGTCATCCCCTCACGCCCAAGAGTGAAACTTAAACTTGCGGTTATCCCGGTCTCCCACTCTGCCCAGTTCAATCATCTGCAATCTTCTCGTCCGTCTGCTAATTGAATTAAAGACCATATCGTCAACCGGTATACCGTCGTCATACCTGGCTGATTCTGAGTGGGTATTCATATACAACTGACAGCTAGGGAAAACATTATTCGTACATGACATCACTGAAATACTGTTTCCTATCCGTAGATAATAGTTAAAACGAACCTATACCGGAGTGTTTAGTTATAATACATTTTATGTAGGCTAATTGGAGGGGTCTAAAAACGAGCAACCCTTTTTTTTTTTTTTACGGGTTTAGACCTACCCTTGGTAATTGTTCTTTATAGTACCAAAGTATCTCGAATCAATTTACTCGTTCAACTACCAATAGCATCAGAAGTTAATAAAATATTCTGAACTAGTAAAAATCGTTCTCTTACTTAAAAAAGTTGTTCTATATATTCTTCAACAGCTTTTTCAGTCATAAAGTGCCTTTGCTATCTTTGCCAATAATTATTCTCCATAAGAGTGAACATAATTTTAATAAGATAATAAACCACAGATAACTTGGCAAGTAACTTATTCGTTGTCAAATAATAGATAATTTCTTATTTTCGGATAATATTATTTCCCATCTAATAAATAAAGTATAATTAAATTTAAAAAAAAAAGAGATTGAACGTAATAGATTATCTTAAGTATGTATTGAACAATTAATATTAATTTTATGGCTATACTTTTTAAAACTGCATTCAAAAAATAAAAAAACACAGACAAAAGAGTTCCTGATCCCTGAATATTGTCTGATAAGGGCGTTTATACAATATATACATTACAACAAATACTAACAAGACATTTTTAAACATCTTAACAAATGTATATAAAGTTTAAACTTTTCTTGATTTTTAATGGAAAGTGGTGCACATTTATCGACTTGAATCTTCCATCAAAGTCCCTACCATCGATAGATGTAAAATATCTGTATCGAATATCGACAGGCTGCGTGGAATTGTGAAGAAATCAATTCAATGGTTACTAATAGTTACCACGGGTAGATACAAAAAAAAACATATTTCTGTCGTTTTCACCAAGTACGAATGGTACTAACACTAAGTAGTAATACTTTCTCAGATCCGCGTCAGAGCTGTCAAAAAAAAAAAAAAAAACAAGACAATATAAGTACTTTCGGACTTGTGTGCAATGACCTGTTTAAGGGGTAAAGTCAATTTTAATTATCATAAATAAACACTGTAGATGTCTGGCAGAGGGCGAGGATATCGCTTCACCCCTTAGCCTCGTGAGAAATGATTTATGCTCGGGTGGTATAATAATATCACAACGACCGGCAGCGTTGATATGTATGAGAGCAGGACAAAACAAAAGCTTAAATTCAGAGCTAAACAATAAAACTCACACCAGTCGCTCGTTTGTTGTAACCCCTTTGGAATTAGCCGGACCGACGGTGGCGGCTGGTTTATTAATTCAAATCATGATATCCAAAAACACTTTAACCCCATTTGATATTATTTCGACAGCAATACTTCTAAGAAAGTTGAATTAACGTGTTTCGAAATTATCGAGATCACCTGGAAAGCTTAAGAAACATCTCAGGACTGTAAGCCAATCTAGCTGGAGTCGTAAACAGAATCAAAAAAAGTGTACAGCTCTACGTTATCTCAAATTCAGAGCTTACAACAATAAGTTATTGTCTAAAATATAATGTGCCACTAAACAGAGCGTTATAAAAAATAATAATGTAAGAAATGAATCAGCACTTGTCCGATAGTTGAACAAACGTTGAAGTACACATTTTAATATATTTATATATATAATAAATAAAATAATAATAATATATAAAAGCCTATATAATATCAAGTACAGCAATTAGTTGTGGTTTCATTAAGGATTTTAAATTACTCTTTTGAATACGAAAACAAAACAATTTCAAATTAGTGCTGAAGTTTTGTAGTAAAAAAATAAAATAAAAGCGTATTACCTTGAAGTGTGTACTGTAAAAGAATAAGTTAAAAGGGATTCGATTTTCAGACTGACGTAAAACAATAAGATACCCAAAACTCGGTAAAACTATGAAGAGAGAAAACTTCCCAAGAGGTTTAGTTAGCAAAAACTCTTCCTCTGGTCTCGTTTATACATATATTATTCGTATGAATGCTATTTTGTTTTTTTGATAATTGTCCAAGTTCAATTGTTTACAAATAAAATACCGTAACGCAAAGTTAAGAACGTCTGAACGTCAGTTCTTTGGTGCGACGACTAAGCAAGACGACAAAACATTTATTACAAATAGTCAAAAGCAAAAAATATAATAACCTATATAATATATTTATGGTTTTCTTGAGCAGTGTAATATTTATTTACATTGTAGTGTATTATTAGTTCTCACATCATGAATTTTCAATGGATCGTCTAAGTGTAAGTCTGCTTCATTTTGACCAAAATCAACGTGTTGGCTCTCCTTAAGACCCAAAGTACAGATATATTTATTTACAACAGGTCTAAGTCGAAAATAAGTAGTCGAAATCACTAAATTTTCAATAAATTGATGATTGAATTGGAAAATTAATAATTTATTATTTAGTGGTCAATTAGTCAGTTAAAATGTTGACTACTCACCACATATTCTTGATTAAATGAAATCAACTAAATAACTAACTATAAATCATTCAACTAATAAATAAATCAAATAATCACCAATCCATAAGTTCAATTAATCAAACATTTTTGTGACCATTGTTCATTGATAATTGATAAGCTATAATAAGTTGAAAGAGTTTTAGGATATTTTTAAGTTCACGTGTGAATTTTTTCACACTTTTCCATTACATAGGTATAGTAAAATACTTTTTCAAATAATTTGAAAGAAATAAAATTACTTAAATTATTAAAACTCAATCAATATTCCTTTTTAAAGTAAACCAGGTAATTCAATGATTTAATCAATTAGAGTTCCGTTTATCGACTTTAATTTACTCATCGCTTATAATTAAAGGTTGAATTTTTTTATGCAATCGCATTTTTTAGTTGGTTACAACATTTTTCCAACACTGACTGATGATGGTCGTTTTTTGTTCAATGGGTTTTTCCGAATTTAAAAAAAAAAAAACGATTAATTAATTTTTGAACGCTGTTTTTTTTTTTACAAATATTATTTCTGTTGCGTTCAAACCGGTTAAGCACTTGTGTATTGGCTAGGGTCTCTAGTGTATATTTATTATTAATATGTTGGACAGTGTGGTCAGTGTATGGGCGGTGGCAGGGCGTCGGACTGTGTGCGCGAAAGAGCAACAGGAGTCAACGGAAGACTTAACCCTAAAAGGGGTGGCGAGGGACGGAATGGGCGGCCGAAACCAGAGAGACCCTCGACGACAGGCCGACGGTTACAGGCGCGCATTCTTTGATTCGGCTCCGAGCCAAACGCACAAAGGCCGCCAACGCCGCTCGTCAAGCTCATTTAAGGATCACGTGTTTCACGTCATTTCACCGTTTCGGTAAGTCTCAATTCAAGTTCAAGTAGTTCGCAAAACACTTAATACAATAGAGAAAAAAAAACATTTTTTTTTAAATACTCAGAACAAAAAAAAACCCACACGCTTGTAGAACACAATTAATTTATCATCATCGTAGTACTTATATTTTTTTAACCGGAATTTTACCGTTAATTTTGAAATTTCTATAAAATACTCTTATTTAAATCAACGGGGGTTTTTTTTTTTAATTAGACTTTGCGATTGCATTTAATCTCGACAATCACATAATTAAATATATACCTACTAAATTACAAAACCAAATCGACCACAGATAAAACATAGATGGAATATTATTACCGGAAAAAAAAATGTATTTATGGTTCTATTATGTTATTTGCTACATTTTTTTTTCATTTTTTAATGCATTTACTATTGGAAAATGCCTTTAAAAATTGTAAAAGATTACAAATCTACGTTTAGTTTGAATTCCCGTGCTAATAAAACTAGATTAATTGTTAGTTGTTGTCGAATGTAATTTATGTTAGGTACTTCATAACAAACTGGAATATTATTCGAATAATTTTTTTTTTTCTAAGCAAAGCGAAAATTAAAATAACAACTCTTATTCATTTATTTATTATTCGATTCGACTATTTATGACAAAATTATTTTTGTGTTGTTGTTTTTATGTTGTTTGGGAAAATCAAATAATTTAATATTTGCCGATAAATACATTATTCACCAAATTATCTATTATTTATTTTCTTATTACAATTTTGACCAACTGCACTCAATAATATCTCTGGTAGTGTGAATCCTAATATGCTGCATTTTTATATACCATTTTTTTAACAGTTTAATTTTTACTATTAAAGCTTGTTAGTCATGTGTTATTATAATTTATATCATTACAAATATTTTATGATAAACCATATCATAATAATGTCTTAGTCTACATAAACTATTTAGATACTAAATTATTATAACATATCTGTATTTTAAACCTAACGCGGTCAATCTAATAACTTATTCTATCACATGCACATTACATTCTAGTTTCAATACATAGCTGAAAAGGTATATTTATTTTCCATAAGACGCTTAAGATGGTTAAGATTACGAGGCACGAACTTATATTTTGCAATAACGAATGTAGAGATACATTTTTTTTTTAAGAGGTTTAGTGTTCGGCAATAGTATCTAGCATCGTAGATCTATGAATGATCTATCTCATTTAGCTTAAAAATCTAGATTTTATATATATATATATATATCTTCATTTTTTTTAATATGCGTGTCTTATAAATTGTAGCCACGGCAAAAAATTATAATATAAAATAATTATTTAGATTTTGTTTTAATAATACCGCTAAAACCTATTAAAAATAATGATATGTCACCTACTATAACTATAGTTTTATACAGTTTATATATTACAGTTATTAAAACTATGATTATCTATGATTCCGAGATTTGATCATAAAACTAATATGGTTTCCCGTTATAACACTTAGTAAGAATGAATTGTTAGGTTTATTTCTAAAAATTAAACGCACTCGGTTATTAGTAATATCGTTGTTGTTTTACCTTCAACTGCATTTCTTCAAACGGTACCTTATTTATCTAGTAAAAAATAAATAAATACCTTCGGATCTTTCGCGCCAACTATATTGTTCAAAGGAATTTTTTTTATTATAACTTACTTTTTACGACTGGAAAATTCATACTTTTGTTGTCTTAAGCCTGAGCCCTTCGCATTCTATAGATGGCGAAGCAATAATAATATGTATATATAAAATCGTATACTTACGTTTTAATCTTAATTATTTTATAAAAAGTTACGGAAATTCATACACAAAGGTCTTTTGTATAAGTAATGTAATTTTTGTTGAAAATAGTTTTTATTGCTGCAGTGAAATAGTAAGCAACAAGATATTAATATTTTTTTTTTTTTAGTAAAAATAAAATTTTAGAAGCTTTTATTTTTACGTTCAAGGAAATTTACATAGAATATTATGATAATATTATTTGAATTTTGTGTTTATTGTTTGATTACATTTTACCGGTGTAAGCGTTTATACATAAATACAATCTAAACCATAATATATATATATATATATATATATATATATATATATATGTGTGTCATTTGTGTTGACTTACATTGTTTTTAATATAGTACAATATCTATTGTGCACTGTCAATGATTACAGCTGTTAAACGCGGCGGTTTAAAATTTAAATCAGCTGTACAAGCGAGTAATCTATTTTTGCAATTTAAACAGTATTTTGTGCCTAAACTAGCATGGGCTTTAGAGGTGGATTTTGAAAAACCGGCCGATTACAATCAAAATTGCACAAATAAAATGATAATATATTTTAACATGAACTCTGCAAGCGCGGCGACTAGAGCACATTATCGAAAGTCAGTCGAGTGTTTTTAGTCGGTACTGTCACTTTCACGGCGGTTTAATTTACCGTTTAACCTGAACGAGCCACTCTAAGCACCGTATAACAAGTGCACTTGGTGTGCATTTTGCGGAATATATAATTCGGCTAAGTACCTCCCAGGTCGCCAGCGTCCTGTCCGGGACAGCCCCTTCTCTTTGAAAAAAGAACAAAAGTTTGAAAAATGTCCAGGAGAGAAAAGGTTGACCCCTTTGATTAGGTATTTATATGGCACTTATTGTCCTATGCATCTGACCCGAAAAGAGTGCTCAATTGTTTAGCCGTCGTGGGTTTATTATTTTTTTTTTTTTATTATTATTTCGAAAATCTATTCATTTGCCGAAAAAAGTGTAATGTTGTTTTGCTTTGGCCGCGACGACGACGACGACTTGTCGGTCACATTAACGGAAACGGTCCGGAAATTGTTTACACAACAGCTATTGTACTTAACATTCATGTACACCTTAAGCTAAACCTAATAACAATAATAATCACAAATCTTCATTAAGGAAAAATATTTTTAAAACGGGTTTAACCCGTAAAACGCTCGGTTCGAAAATCGCAATAATGTATTTTTACAAAACGACTAACTTAACACATTTTTGGAACAGGTCTGGCTTTATTGGACACGAATTTAATTAGAATGGAAAAGTATGTAATAAATGATTATAATTCATTAATCTAACACAATTTTATAAGCAGTTAAAATTGTTAAGCTATTATAATATATTTAATCCATTTGATGCATTAGCATGTTGTATTTTCCATCCATTATAATTATCGAGTACAATAGGGTGAATGGTATAAATTCAACAATTGATCCCGCTGACCCGCTGAATGTGAATAATAATATAATATATTGCTTGGCTCTCAATCAACAATCCTCTTATGAAAGTCCAGACTTTCGACCATCACCCATGTAACACGATAGTTTTTAAACATACATATTTTTTGAGGATATTACTATATGTATTATTATGCGTACGAAATGTGAATTTAAAGTATATTTATTACACATAACAGCTAATTGTGTGTTTCAAAATCGTTTTATATTTATATTTCGGAATAGTACACTTACTTAATATTATAATTTATGTTATATTATTTTAAAATTTTGAATTTAAATATTGTTGTTTTTTTTTTTTTTTTTAATAATTTATGAATACAATCGATTACCGTCGAATGGTCTGAACTGAAATGTGATTAAAAACAATAATTATACTCCTAAACTAATAAAAAGCATACAATTACGTGTTTCGCGAGCAATTTTGATGGCATCAACATTGGACAAACTGTATTTTGAACCTCTATCGCCATTATTGATTGAATAAAATGTCTGCTACTATATGTCTTTGCAATCAAATCGTGATGGACGTTTTTAGCGTCTAGCCATTCGGCTTCTGGTTGACTATCAGTACTTGTAGGTATTATTTACATTTAAGTCTGCGCCAAAAACGTCCCCACGTGCCTACACTTAAGTTTGAAGCGTATGGTCTAGAAAATGTCCATAGACATTATTAAACATACACAACGAGGTAGTCGTCAAAGTTCCAGGGAATCGCTTTGTAACACTCGTGTCCGTAGAAAGCTCACAGCGGCTGTGGCACGCGCCTGGAACACAAAAGAACCGTTGTGGGCTATTCGGCGCTTTATCAAGTTGTCTTTGTATAATACCGCGTGTTTACCTTTGTGCCGTATACCTAAAACCGGCATGCCATCGCCGTGCGTAGCAGCTGTCATCTGAAGAATTTGCGTTCATTACTCTGCCATGATACATATTGAGCTTTTAATAACGAAAACTAAAGCGGCAATGTAAAATGACCAAACCTCGCGAATAACGCAAACTTACGCGTACACGGTGTTGGTATTATTTGGCGATTCGCGGCATAGGTATATTCCATTACAACAAGAATAATATAACTTGTTTGTTCACACGTCTTGTATTCATAGGACTGTATACTTACACGTTAAACGCACGACAATGTTATTGTTATTATAATCATAACCGCAAGCCGTTCTTCGGTTCGTAAACAAATGCATTTTACCATTTTTTTTTTTTTTTGTTAAAATATGCAATTATAGCAGTTGTACTGTCAAATCAGTCAACTAATTTCAGAAATTTCTTTTATAATTAATGAAGGATCCGGTACAAAAACCTACACTTTTTATCAATAATTGTTTTTTCATGAAACAATTATTTACATGTTCGTGCATCAAACAGTAAAATCTGACTATAATTTACAAAATTATTATAAAACATTTTTCCCGACAACAGAGGTAAATGGGATAGTGGATTTTCTTCTTGCATCGGACCCTTCATTAATACAAGTAAAAAATAATTTTTTATAATATTTATCCAAGAGTAGTCTAGCCTAGTATTCTTCTTTTGACAAGCTCGGCTGTCCAAAGTGATATTAATCAACTCACTGATTCGGAAATATGAAGACATTCATTGTTTCTAATTAAAATTATGTCCTGTACGTCAAGAATATTTTTTTTCTGCGTTTAAAGTGTCCTACCGATCTATCCAAGTTCTACAAACCATATTTATTTTTAAAATTAAGATTAATCATC